TCCCTTCCCAAACCTTCCCTTCCCTTCCCAAACCTTCCCTTCCCAAATCTTCCCTTCCCTTCCCAAACCTTCCCAAACCTTCCCAAACCTTCCCAAACCTTCCCTTCCCAAACCTTCCCTTCCCAAACCTTCATTCCCCTTCCCTCTCTCTCTCCATCCTCCCCTTCTCCTTCTCCCTTCCCTCTCCTTTCTCCTCCCCTTCCCTTCCCTCTCATCCCAGGGTGGGAATGGGTCCATTTTATCCCTTCCAGACAATTGTCCCCCCCAACCTCTGCCCCTCTCCTCGTCCTCTGCAGCCCCTCCTCTGCAGTCTGTGTTACCAGAGGTTTTTTGGCTGCTCTTCCCCACTGTCAGTTCACATTTATTACACGTTTCATGATCACCATGAAATCGTTTTTGGCACCATTGTGACTTTTTTTCCCCTCTGAGTATCCTTTTGGAGACAATATTTCCTGAGGTTCTGGACTGTAAACACACACACACACACACACACACACAGAGTTTGTGAAAATTACCTGAAATGGGACATTTTTATTGCAGTCCTTTGACATCTGTGGCCGTGTGGGAAGTGTCAGGAAGGCACTGAAGGTCCTCTGCACCCCCCAGGTAAGGAATGACACATCAAAGAGCCATTTCAGAGGTGAAGCCTCGTTCCTGTGGGATGATGGAGCTGAGAATTGCTCACAGAATACAATCACACGTGCTCTGCCATGGCTGGACAAGCTGTTCCCTCCTGTCAGGGATGTTGGGAACCTTTCCTGACCCCTGCCCTGTCCCAGCTCTGGGGAGAGGCTGTTCCTGCTTTGACTGGAAGCTCTGTGTAATATGGATTAATCCACTGAGGCCAAACCTGCAAGGATCTGACACAACCTTGCAGTGCAGAGTGGGAGAAGGGCTTTAACCAGAACCCTGTGGTGCCTTTTGTGCAGTGACACTCCCAGAGATCAGGAATTATCCCAGGCACTGGTGTTTGGATCTGCTGCCCTGACATGCTGGGACTTGTATTTTCAGAAGGGTCACACCACCACTGCAGTTTGTTAGAGCTCACCTGGCCTGTTCTGTGGGCTTGGGCTGCTCATTTGTTCCTCAGCATGTTTCTGTTTCCCCCAATCCTGTTAAAATGTGGGAAACATTTACCCCCCACATAATCCCAAAAGAAAAGTGGGCAGCCCCTGGGTGCTGCTGCTGCTGCTTTTCTCTCTCCTATTGTCTAACTTGCCAGTAATAATCCCTCCCACTATCCAAACACCTCTGCAGGTGCTGCTGAGCTCATTAAGTGTCATTATTGTTGCTGCACAAGTGGAGGCACCAAAGGGTGGAATCAGCTCGAGGGGCCAACCCAGCAGAGAGCACAGAGCTGCACCATCCCTGTGCTGCTGCCCACAGCTCCCTTCCCCACGCAGGGACACAACCCCAGAGTCCTTCCCGGGCCGTGTGGGCTGTGAACAGCTGTGTTTTCACACTCACTGAGCCTCCAAACCCTTCCCGGGCCGTGTGGGCTGTGAACAGCTGTGTTTTCACACTCACTGAGCCTCCAAACTCTCGGTCATTGGGATTTTTCCCTCCCTGTCCCCCCGCAGACCTACGGGGTCCGTGCCACCAGCCAGCAGTGCAGCGAGGCAGGAGACATCTGTGCCATCTGCCAGGCAGAGTTCAGGGAGCCTTTGATCCTCCTGTGCCAGGTAAGAGCCCAGGCTTTCCTGCTGGCATTCCTTTGGGTATCCTGCAGCTGGGGGGAGAGGCACAGTCGGCCTGGGGGCCTCTGGAACCATTTGCTGGGTCCTGGTGGGTGTTTATTGCCCTGGCCTGGGTCACCGGTGGTTCTTGGCAGCTGAGCCACCCTTTGGGGGTTGAACATCACTTTTGGGGGGAAATGGCCTTGTAGGGCAGGGCTGGCAGTTGAGGGATGCTGCAGCCCTGGCCTGGGCTGGGAGAAGCCCTTGGAACACTCCACACTGCCACAGGGGCTGTTAATGGACCAGAGGAGCTCGTGGCAAGGCTGGAGGTGCTGCCCCAAGGTTTTCTCTTCAGGCTTTGCCTGCTGGGGTTGGAATTCTGCATCCTGGAGGGGGCCTGGCTGCTGTGGGGGTGTGAGCAGGAAAACCCCAGGCACAGGGAAGGGAGCTGGTGGGATATGAGCTCTCTTGTGGTATCAAAATAAAGCTCAGGAGCCTGTTTTTGGAGAGCTTCATGGAGAGCTTTTGGAGAGCTTTTATCCCATTAGACAACAGGGTTATCAAATTAAAGCAAGTGGGTCTCCTGTGCATCAAAGGCGCCTCTCAGCATTGCTGTGAACATCTGTGCAGATGTTCCTGAGCTGGGAGCCCCAGAGGAGCTGCCTTTGTGTCAGAGCTGAGGTTTGGGGAGTGACACTTCTGCTGACTCCACATGAGCTGAGGTCTCAGCTTCTCCTCATACTCCCTCCCTGCCCTATTCCTGCTCTTCCAGTCTGGGACTGGGTGGTGTGAGCTGGGATCCACCCCTCCTGATCCTGGTGCCCAAGGCAGGATGGAGGGAGAACCCAGGGAGGGGCCAGTGCAGAAATGAGAGGAGAGAAGGGGTGAAAACTGGCATTTATGGACAGGGGACACTGGGCACTGGGAGCAGAATAAAGCAAATGCAAGGAGCAGGGGAGGGAAAAGGGGGTACAAGTGAAGACTTAAATAACTCAGGATGGAAACATGGCAGAGAAACCCTCTCCCTGCTCCATTAGGCCTTTTTAATGTTTCTCTCTAGTGCCATATTAAGAACTAATAAATCATTGGCTTTGGCAAACACACTGACGTGCTGGTGATGCTGGGATTTTTTTTTCCACGCAAGTATCGCTGTTGTGGATCCCTCCCTGCTCCCGGGGGGGGTACAGGGAGGGCCCTGCTGCCTGGTGACCCTGCCCCTTGTCCCCCCAGCACGTGTTCTGCGAGGAGTGCCTGTGCCTGTGGTTCGACAGGGAGAAGACGTGTCCCCTGTGCCGCTCGGTCACCGTGGAGACCCTGCGCTGCTGGAAGGATGGCACCACCTCTGCCCACTTCCAGGTCTACTGACACAGGGCACCTCATGCAGGGCAGAGGAAAACCTGCAAAATCACCCCATGCCCCCCCCTGTGTGTTTGTTGTCAGTCTTCCTCCCAGCTCTGTCCCTCCAGGAGCCAACGGAACAGTCGTCACCGGCCGGGAACTCCGTCCTCAAAGGCAAGGAGAGGTGGTTTGTGCCTTGGCTGAGCTACAGCCGAGGATTTTCCTTGAGCTAACGTGGTTATGAACTGCCTGGGATGTTTCCTGCTTCCCTGTCCTTTTAGTGTGGACAAATCCCACGTGGACAAGGCAAGGGAAGCGTGGATTTCATGGGTATGACCTGATGTGCTGCAGCAAAGCTGTGCCTGGCTCGGGCCTCTGCTGAGGTGTCTCACGTTATATGGCCCCACATTCCCTGGATCCACAGCTTTATAGGATGACACAGTGGCTGTTACAGAACCTCTGGGAACTCTTCCCAAGCAGGGCTTCAGAACCTCGTGCCCAAAAGGTCACCTGGGGCTGGAGAAATGGCATTTCCCAGCAGCCACGTGTGTGCAGTTGGTCCCACCGATGGCACAACTGTGGCTGCAAGTGTAATAAAATCATTAAAAAGTCGGGAAAGACCAAGACCAAGCTGGGAATTACATTTATTTTTGTTGGGAATGTTTTCCCATTTTAATTTTCATGGTGAGGCTTTGTGATTTCCCAGTGTATGAGGAGAGCAGCGGGAGGCAGAGGGAGATTGAAGTGACAGAATCACGGGAGCCGAGTTGGATTTGTGTGGGTGAAAAATCCAGCTCCAAACCAAGAGCATCCCACAAACTGAGGGGTTTCTGCTCCTGCTCCTTGGTGCAGCCACTCCAGGCCAGCCCCACTCGTATCCATGACCTGCCCGGGTCCCAAACCAGGAGAACTGGAGCTCCTGGAGGGATCCCTGTGTTGGCAGGGAATTAAACCCTTCCCGTGGCTGAGGTGCTGCAGCAGCAGGGAGCTGCTGTTTGTTCTGGAGCTTTCCCTGTCCCCAAAGCACCTCTGCTCCTGCTGCACAGCCAGGAAGTGCCTCCTTAGGAACTGTGGGGTTTTCCCAGCTCATTGCCATGGGAATGGCCGGAGGTGATGGTCCCAGCTGAGGTGACAGTCCCACCTGAGCCCATCCCCTGGGGGAGATGAGCTGGGTCTGCGCTCACTGGAATCCCCAGGGGGAGAATTCCAGCCAACAGGAGCTGGGGGCAACAGGATTAAAGCTCCTCATTTCTTTGGGATGTGGCTGGAGGAGGGATGGTGGTGGGAGGCAGAGCCTGAGCAGGGAAGAGTCCAAATCTGGCTTGAGAGGTGTAGGGAAGCAGAGGAGGGAAAGCTTTGCTTTCCAAGACAAAGTGATTTGACTCCCGTTAAAAGGATCCTGTGAAAGCAGGGAATTAGCCCAAGGAATCTGGTTGCTCTCTGCAATGGGAATGGCCCCTCTGGGATGGGGGAAGGCAGGAAGCAAGGCTGGCAGTGGGCACAGAAAGGTGGGATAGCCTGGTGTATCCACTGGGAAGAGGGCAAATGAGGGATTCCGTGGGCAGGCAGCTCCTGAAAGGCCTCAGTGCCAGTTTTCAGGGAACCAAAAGGTTGGTGCTTCTGCTTTCTAAGTGTTTGAAAAGCCACTTCTGTTTCTTTTTTTTCCCTAAATGCTCCTGGAAAATGTGTTTGGGCAAGTGTAGAAGGTCAGTGGGAGCCCAGCACTGCAGGAAGTGTGGGACAAACTGTTCCAGAGTTAGTCAGTGTTTAGGGAAAATTTGGGAATATTGTTTGAATTCTTACAGTCTTTTTGAGAGGGGAGGACAGTTCTACCCTCTCCTAGAACATGACACCAGAAAACATCCAGGGGGAAACTTCAGCTCCAGTGATGGGAATCTGCTGATTTCCAGGGGAAAACAGGGAGGGCTGTGGGAGGAAATCACTCAGAGAGAGGAAATAAAAACCCGGAGCCTTTTTTTTTGCCATTGAACAGTTATTTTTCTCTCTTTTTTTTAATAAAGTCCTTATAAATATGTACAAAGAGTCTCAGCATACGAAATTCCTTTTACAAAAGAGAGAAGCCCCTTCCAAGCAGGACCAGGAGCCTCCAGGGGCTCTGCTCCTGCCTTGGGGAGGTGGAAACCTGCACAGTGACTCTGCTGGAGTTACACCCAGGGTAGGGAATTGTGCATTCCCTGTCATCCCTGTCATTCCCTTAGCAATGGACCTGGGAGAGACTGGGAAGTTCTGCAGTGTCCTAAGGATTGATGATGGGAAGGGTTTTGTGGTGAGCTGGTGTTTGAATTGACTGGAAAGGTGATGCTGAAAATACCCATGGAATTAAACCCCCCTGAGCTGGGTTTGCTCTGCTGAGGAGCCACTTGGAAGTGATGGTGTAACTAACCCAGGGTGTAACTAATCAAGGGTGTAACCAATAATGGATGTCATTAATAAAGGCCATTTAACACCCAGAAGCTTGCAGTGAATATTTATCAAGCTCCAAAGTCCCTTTGTGTAAATATAAAACCCCTCAGGGAACTCGAGCCCTCGGGTTTTCCTGCCCAGTGAGGTTGGATCAGTCACATCAGAATTCCCTCCTGTGTTCAAATAAATATCATCAGGGAAAAAAAAGATCCACTTGTTTTGTGGTTTGTAGTTTGATTTTGTCCCTGGAGGTGGGCACTGGCCATCCTGGAACAGCAGCTTTTCCCACTCCTGGGGAGGGCAGAGCTGTCCTTGGAAGTGCTGGGATGTGAGAGATCCTTGTGCTGCAGGTGGAGTGTGACCCAAGCCGCTGGGATTGTCCTGTGCTGGGAACAGGGGTCTGTCTGGGAACAAAGGTGGCCTTTGGAATGTGAGGGGTCACACATTCCAGCTGGGAGAGGGCAAGAAGCCCAAGGCAGGAGCAGCACATGAGGATCCCTCCCCTCCACTTCCTCAGGAAGCCCAATTCCCATGTCACTCACACTGCCCCAGTCTCCTGGATTTTGAGCTGGCATGGCCAGTGTCCCCTCCTGGGGTGGGATGGGCAAGTCCAGCTCACCCCCAGCCCAGAGGGACACAGGAACAGGGCTGAGTCTGAGGCCTGGACTGCAAATCCCATTTTCTGGGAGCAAAGTGGCTCCAAGGAATGTTGTGCAGATGCTGTTCACCTGCTGGGGGGTGGGAAACAGCCAAAGGTTTGGACCTGGACAGAAAATGTGTGTCCAGGATTTAATGTGGACCCACAGGCAGTTTGTTATTCACATGTCGGGCTCCTGTTAAGATCCTGGACAGATGTTTTAAAACTATTCCTAGGAAAACTCAATATTAAGGTGGATGTACCTTTGTGTCCTCACTGTGGGCCAGTTTGCACGTGGCAGTGCAGTTTTCCAGCAGGGAATTGCCTCATTCCAGGCTCTGTGGACACAGAGACTGCAGCAGTTTAAACAGTTCTGTCTGCACTGGGGTTGATCAGCAGGAACAGCCTCTGCCTCTGCCGGGGGTTTAAGAGCCCTATAATTTTACTGTGATACAGAAACATGATTTTAGTGTGACACAGAGACAAAACAAACTCACAACTCGGATGGAACTGATTCAAGAAGTGTTGGAGATTTCAGGGAATTCTTCAGTGTCGGGCTGGGCTGGATGAGGGCGATCCCTGCCCGGTGCTCTGCAGCAGGAGTGGGATGGGTTTGTCCTCCCCCATCACTCACAAATCCCCGATTTTGGGTGATTTGCTGCGTGTTTGTGTTGGGGACGCCTCTCCTGGGCACACAGAGGTGTCTGACAGGAGGCCTGGTCCCATTCCTGATGTTTTTACCACTGAAAATAATCCTGGGAGAAGAGGGTGGGCTGTGGGATGGATGTGCTAAACCCCAGGCTGGGTGTCAGCGGGGCAGCCCGGGACTGACCCAAATCTGAGCAGCACGACAGGAGGTGACCAGCAGCCCACGCTGGGCTGCTTTTCCCCCTTGGAATACAGAATTCCAGCCTGTGCTGGGAGCTGCCTTGGCCGAGAGCTGCTTTAAAAATTCATCCAGGCTTTCCCCGCAGCCGCGCGGGCGGCGGGAGCGCAGACAATGATCTCAGCCCGCTCCGCTCCCGCTGAAACCCGAGCCGCAGCCTTTTGTTTTCCCTTTGGAAAGCGCTCCCTGGTCTTCCCAGCTGATCGAAACCCGGGGCTGTGAGAAAACAAACGGGGGGAGAGAGGAACTGTGCTGGTTTCCTGCCCACGAGGAGGGTACAGACGCTGCCCGGCTGTGGCAGGGCAGGGAATTCACGGGGAATTCACAGGGAATTCGCAGGGAGTTCACAGCATGCTTCCCTTGACAGTACAAACATCACCCAGGGGGAGAGCAGATCTTCTAAAAACGATAAAAACACCCCTCGTCAAAAAACGGCGGCAATTCAACAATAGCAATTACACCAGAAAATGTAAGGCTTCGACAAATCCGTGCCCTCTAGTAAGGAATTCCAGTTCTGTACAGGGAATTCTGGCTATAAAACTCCAAAATTAACCCTCAGTTCATGCTAAACATCCAGTTTGGAACTACAAAAGTGAAGCAAATCAGGATTTGGGGCACTGGAGCTGCTCTGGATTCCACCTGGGAACCACCCCAGGTTTGGTTGTTCCACAGCAGCACCACTTCAACTTTTTTGCTGAGTGTTTGGAAGCAGCCAGGAGACCAATCCCCTGGGAGCTCTGAGGTCTGGGAATCTGACAGAGGGTTGTGACAGAGGGAGAACAGCCAATCTCTGCCCTGAGGCTCATCCCTGACTTCAGGGGCTCTCCCGAGGTGGGGCCTGGATGGCAAGGACAGAACTTCCTCCCCTTTTCCATGGCTGAGCTGTTCCAGGGGAATTGCCTCTGCGGGAAGGAACCCAGGAGCAGCCTGGAGGCTGCAGGGGCAGGAGAACCAGGGGCACTGCACAGGGAAAATGGGATAATGCATATTCCAGGGAGGAGTTAGTTACATTCAGAGCTGATAGAGGTGAGGAATCCCCCTCGAGGGAGCTGTCCCAGGAATGCCTCGGGACACCCCCGGGCTGGGGAAGGAGGACAGACCTGCAGGTGCCACATCCAGCCTTCCCCCATCAGTGATTCCTGCTCTGATGGCACTGTGGGATTCCACACACACAGTTCCACCTCTGTCACTTGCAGAAATTCCTGTTTTTAAGACCCTGCCCAGACCAGCACTGGCAGCATTGCTGGAATCACTGCTGGAATCACCTGAGGCTCCTCCTCTTGCCAGAAGAATTTGTACTTATTTCAACAGGAGCCTGAGCCAGGAGGGGGTTCAGGATGCTGAGGATTACTGAGCATCAGGCCAAAAAAGGCAGGAAAATGTTTCCTGGGGTCCTGAGACCACCCAAAGGCCACGGACAGACAACCATGGAGCTCCAGATCCCAGCACCCAAAGCTCCTCACTGGGAACCACCTGCCCTTCCAGCACAGCTCCTGGGGATCAATAACACCCACGAACTGACTGATCAATATATTGATTGATCAGTATTGGGCTCAAACTCAGCAGGGAATCTTTGATAAGGGGAGAATTCGGCTTTCAGGTTCCTTGGAAACCTTTCTCCTGCAGCAGTGAAAATGCTGGATGAACACTCAGCTTCTTCCTGGGCTGGCAGAGGGGTGGGAAGTGTTTTTAAAGGACAAGGAGCCAAATTTCCTTTGGAAATCGGGTTCTAACATTCTTTGAAAATGTCCCCCCCTGCCACGGGAGGGTGAATTTTCTGGTGGAAATATCAGAAGCTTGGAAAAAATGTTCCTAAAAAAACTGTGCCCAGTCATTCCTGTGAGTAGGATCTGGAAGGGACCCAAAATCTGACAGGTAGTTTTGGCTGCAGTGAAAAAAGTGCTCAGTACCAGACTGAAAAAAAGCCCTTTGATTTCTAAGGCCAAGTTCTCCTGTTATCCCCTGCTCTAGTGATTAGAGTTCTCTCCCCTGGGTCACAGGATCTGGGACTGCTTAAACCACCATCCAGGAGAATTCCCAGCTCTGGAGCTGCAGGAAGTGCTGCACCAGCAGACCTTGATGTGGAAAGAGCTGGGGTGTCCTTTCCACCTCAGTGAATGCTGCAAACTGTCAGAAGAAAAAACAACTGCTCCAAAGGAAAAAAAAAAGGAGTTTTATAAAGTTCTGGGGGTAGATTATCTGGTTTAAGTTTCTGCAGAAATTGAAAGAAAGAAAAAAATAGCACCTTCTCAACAAGTCTTATTATTTCCTTTTTTTTTTTTGCTATCTTGTGTATAAATATTAATAACCAAAATAGAGCTTTCCTCGTCCCACGCTTCTGAACATCCTCTTGGGGGAAACCGTAGCACCACATAGAGAGAGAGGCAGTTTAGCCCCAGCCAAATATTTAAAATGTAGCACCAGAGAAACTAAAGTCAGAGGAAAAAAAGCCGATCCCACCTGGTGCCAGAGCGTCAATATTTACACACACCACCCGCTGCGGGAGCGCTCCCCGCCGCCAGCTCGGCATTCCAAGGGATCGTTAGCTCGGCATGGACAGGTTACTGCTCCTCCTGCCGTGAGCAGAGGGGAGGGGCGGTGTTCCAGCGGGGAGATCCCCCATCCCGGGATCGCACCACTACAGGGAATGTCGCTTACGTTCTCACGAGGCATGCACGGGCAACTCTGCTTACAGGAGGGTTTACATTCTTCTATATATAAGCATTTTTTTTTGTGTCTCTGGTTTGCTGCTGAGCCCTTGAAACAGCTCCTTGCCGTGCAAAATCCTTCTTTTCGCGTCGCCCAAAGCACTTCCAGCATCTCCCCACTTCTTTATCTCTCCACCCCTTTCACAGCTGCTGCTCGGGCTCTGGATTTTCCCTGGAGGAAAAGGGGAAACAATTTTCTCCAAGGGCACAGGGTTTGCTCCAGCCTGGGAAAGCAAAAAAGAATTGGGTGTTAATTATGTCGATGCACTGAGTACAACAAAAGCTTCTTTTTAATTTATGCTTGAACCCTCCCCTGAAGTTGCAGACAGGAGTTTATGGGGAGGAAGGTTTGTGGCTCAGCACCCTCAGCCCTGTGCAGAGTTTCTGCAGCTCTCACTTCACGAGGCTCCTTCTTCTGGGTGCTCCATCCTCGTTTCCATCCCGTTAACACAGATGTTAACTCCTAGGGAAGCCATTAGTTTTGTCACAGGTAGGAAAGGGGGTGCTTGGAGTATCACAGGAGACTGGGAGAACTCACTCATTCCTGGATCTGCCACTGATTAGATTTGTGGCCTGGGGCAAACCACTGCTTCAGTTCTGCTGCAAAATGAGGGCACTAATAACTTATTTGCCTCATAGGTGGGCTGGGAGCCTTAATTAATAAAGTGCTCAGAGAAAGGCACCCATCTAAGTGCAAATTAGCAGGAGAGCAGCCCAAGGGGCATCTGCTCTGAAATCCCCATTTCCCAGCATTTATCCCTGGCTGTTGCTGGTCCCAGCCCTGGCTGGGGAAGGTCCCATCGTTCACAGACTGTGACAATGAGCGATCTGAGAGAAACCTCCCCGGGATGAGGTGACTTCACCCGGCTGGGAGAGAGGAGGGGCAGTCAGTGCCCCTGCAACCGCAGCAGCTCTGAAATCAGAGTGTAATTAGGGCTGGCAAACAGCTCTGGGGCAGATCCTGAGTGGCCTTAACTATGGAATCACTTCCCTCCCTGGTCATGCCAGTGTGAAGGTCACCGGGATACAGCGACTGGGCTGAGCTGAGCCTCCAGCAAAGGAGGCAAATTCTGCTGCTGCCACGGACTCTGAGCAGAATCCAAAATATCCTGAGCTGGAAGGGACCCCCAAGGGTGATCCAGTCCAACTGCTGTCCCTGCACGGACACCCCAACAATCCCACCCTATCCAAACCCTCCTTGAGCTCTGTCAGCCCCGGGGCCGTGACCATTCCCTGGGGAGCCTGTCCAGTGCCCGTTCCAGCAACCTGGAATGTCTCTGGTTCTGCCACGGAAGATTGAACCCTGCCTGCTTTACCCCACTTACTGCCAGCTGTGCACACAGGATGGGGCAATCCCAAGCTCTCCCTCCCTCAGCTTCCAGCCTTGCTTTCTGGTTTCAAGGGATCTGCAGCCCCAGTGGGAACAGCTCAAAGGACTCACGCTGGAGTGAATCATCCAGACATGGAGCACAATTCCAGTGGCTCACTGTTATCAAGGATATACCAGTCAGGCACAGTCCCAGGGCTGCTGTACCTCCATGCTCACAGGTTCCCACATCTCCAGAATACTGGAAGTATCCTGAGGGTGTTTGTGCGGGGCTGCTTGGCTTTTTTTGGCAGAAGGTAAAAAGCAAAGGAGAGGTGTTTGCAGTGTGAGAAAGCACAACCACGCTAACCCCGGCTACACAAACCCATCCAGCTGGGCACTGAGAGCTGGTAAAGAGCTGTCAGAACCAGCCCAGAGGCTGAAATGTGTCCCTGCCTGCATTCCCGGGACACAGCCCTTCCTGCTGCGGGGATCTCACCTCCACTGGCACAGCCACACGCTCCGGACACACACTCAGCACCACGGATGTCTCCAGGCCTGCCAAACACCTCCGGGAGGGGATTTGGGCACCTGCACTCTGCACACAAGATGCCAAAATTCCCCCTCCTCGGGGTGGGAGAGCAGGGCACGACCCGAGCTGGGAGGAGGAGCCCCCGCTGCCGTTCCTGCCCCCTGAGGGGAGGGATTTACTCCAGTCCCACTGCAATAAAGAGTTCAGGAGTTGATTGAAGGATTTCCTCTGAAGCAAAACCATCTAACCCTGATTTATTATTTCTCCTGTAGCAGCACTTCCAATTGCCATCCATGAACCCTTGTCCTGCTGTGCCACCCGTGGCCGGCAACAGATCATCCGTGGTGTCACCGTATTTCACCAACTGCCTCCCCGTGTCACTTAACGCATAGAAAAATCCATAAAAACCTGTAAAAGTTGATAAATCCGAGAACATCTTGAACTCCCGGCGATAAATCTGCCCCGGGGCAGGCAGAGAGCTCAGCACAATGTTTATGCACCTCACCAGCCCCTTTCTAAGAGCTTAAATGGCTCTTTAAGTTTTGCATCAGCCCCGTGCCGGCCTTTGCACGAAGGTGAATTTTCATGGAAAGAATAAAAGAGGACCCCAGAATCCTGGCCTTCAGCCCATCTCTCAATAAACCAATTTTGAATATCCTGGGCTGTGTTAAAGCCATTTCTGGGTGCATATTGGCTGCACTGCCAGTATCTGACTCATTAATGGAATATACTTGGAGCCAAATTCTGATCTCATTTACAGCACCGTAAATCCAGGGCAACCCAATTGACTTCAGTGGAGTTACTCCAAATTTCCCACAATAGGCACTCAGCAGACAGAGCAAAACTCGGTGCTTTGGGTCTGAAACAGGCTGGGGAAAGCCAAACTACATCCCATTTGTAATTCCAGGGTGGATAGTAAGCTGGAAAGGCAGCCAGCACGTCCCTTCTGTAGAACTGCTGAAAAATTGATTACTTTATGTGTCATTCTTTAAAATGTTGAAACTTTGGGGAGGGGGCCTGTCCACAAATATCAACACTTTTCATTTACTTATAAAATAACAGGAATTATAGCTGAGTTCCTATGTGAAAACTGCACTGTCTGTTGAAAACACAGATTGAAGTGATAAGAAAAAAATCAATTCCTTCGAAATTTTTTCATGGGAACCAACATTCCCTTTGGTGAAGTATTTCCTTCTGTCTGGACATTTAGGGAGACCTCTCAGAAAGTTGCTCTCAGCCATTGCACCTATGAAGCAATAAGGTTGTGAGAGGACAAATCAAAAGCACCTCAGGCAAACCCGCCACATCCCGCTGCTTTAACAGACAATTACTCAATTACTCGGAATTCTCCAGCCTTAAATCCCACTGTTCCATCCCACAACTCGCTAAACTGCTGTTCACAAAAAGAAAAGTCAGGCTGCTCTTCTCGGGGGATGCGGAGTGGGACGGGCATGAAACGACTCAGGTGGGGGGTCCCATCTCAGCACTTCTTTGACTAATCTTTATTCAGGGAGAGGAGGCAAAGCCGCGCTTAAGCCGTAGGAGAGTCTGAGCTCACAGCCCCTGCAGCAGCTTGGAAAAAGGACTTGTGCTCCCGGCTACTGCGAACCGCTCGATTTAAATGGATTACACGGGCCGCTCACTTGGCACGCGTCCCACCCCTAATAAACAAAATAACAGTTATTGATACGTTTAAAGGGAAAAATAGATTGGAGGGCTCGCGTTGCTGCGGGCGAGCTGGAAGGCAGGGACGGGACGAGGCGCCCTCGCTCCCTCTGCTCACCCAGCAGCAGGTTAATGAGAAAACAAGGGCTGGGCAGGAGCCCCGGCAAATTCCCAAGCAGCCGCTCTCCGTGAACACTCACACTTCATTAGCAGCTCCGCGGGAGACGGAACGGGCACTTGGAACACCAAAAAACAATTAGGAGGGGGTTCAAGAGAGGGAGGAAGAGGAGAACTGCTCGGGAGATCTTTGCACAGGAAGAGCAGGGAACCCAGGCAGTAAAGAGATACATGGAGGCTCCAATCTTTCCACAAAGGAAGTCCACCTGTGGAATGAGCCGTTTCTGGGCTGCTGTTTGTCTGTGAAAACTCTGCTGCCTGTTTGTCGTGAGAAGGTTTTCCTTGAGCAATTTACCCGTGAAGTTGGAGTGAGGGTGGCAGGGGCTGTTGGCACCTTGGAGCAGGACGCTTGCCACTGGGAAGAGCTCCTTCTTCCTCAGTTATCCAGGAGGATAAACAGCAGTGCCTCACTCTTTGTGTCAGAGAAACACAAGCTGGATGTTTGTCCTCCCGCAGAACTGCACTGCCTCTGGTCCTCGGTTTGCTCTGTGCCCCTGCACAGCTCAGCGTGACACCTCCAGAAATCTTCCCAGCCCGGCTTTAACACAGATAATTAACTGCACTGAGACTTTGGGCAGAGTGGCTCTGCATGAACCCCGCAGCAAACAGTGGGGGGAACTCCTGGCAACACGGTGGGCACGGAACCAGGCTGGTGGAGCTGGCAGGGACCAGTAGGGTTGGATTTTAATACACTGCCACTCCTGAACTAACAGAGCGAAATACAAGTGTCCCCGTGTGCCAAACTGGCACCTGACAACTGCACTTCATGTCCTGGTTGGAGATTCAAGGTGATGTCAGATTATATATTCTAAAACTGCCAGTTGTGAAGGATTCAGCCCCAAACCCCAGGCTCGGTCCACAGATGCAAGTTGGTCACGTGCAATGGCCCTAATCCTGCTCTCCCTGGCATCCCCCAGGGGCTGTGAGAGCAGGAGAGGTGCCCTGGAGCACAGGATTATTCCCTGAGCTGTGCTGTTGTGGAAAGCCACACCAACCTGAGGGAACAACCACCCACCTCCTGCCTCAGAAACAGTTCGTACGCTCACAGCAGCCAACACAAATCCTACTACTGCTTGGAAAAGCAGGAGGGGAACTCTGGTAGTAAACCCAGCTGACAATGGCCTTTGACTTCTCTATTCCTTCTGCAACCACCAGATCACTAGACAAATGCTGACTCTGCAGCATCCTCATTAACTGTATGAGTTACTCTCTTCTTACCAGCCATTCCAAGAAATCCCATGCTCAGAGCTTGGACTTCCTAGCTTGTTGCAGAACAATGTTATTGTCACTGCAGAGTTCTCTGAGGGTGGCAGAAAAATACATATTTTGTTCAGAAATACTCTGCACAGTGGATGAAAGACTGTTGTCTTACCTCATCTCTAAGCCTAACAGCTCTCTGCACTATCACTCAGGCTCTGAGACAGTCAGAAACCTCCACTGGTGGGAGCAAATTACAGCATGAAAAGATTCCTAATGGCAAAAATAACCCCAGAAACTGAGGTGTAGATGATGCAGTTAATCATTCTGGGGTTGCACTGTATTTT